TCCATGACAGACTGCAAAGGGACACAAGAAATTCTTCAGACTGATGAACACAGTCACTGTTTGATTTAGAAAGTATCACAGATATACACACATCAAAACTTACCAAGTGAAGGGGCTGGAGAGCTGGTTGAATGGTTAAGAGCACTTGCCTTCTTGCAGAGGACCTGGGTTCAGTCCATAGTGCATGCATAGTGACACAACCATTTGTAACTAGTTCCATGGAATCTATTACAGTTAATCTTGGTTGTCAGAGTGAATGGATCAACTAAAACACAAGCTTCTAAGTATTCCCTGAGGTCTTTCTTAGATTATTTGAAGCAGGAAGGTCCACCCTAACTGTGGGCAGCACCTTCTAGTGGTAACCCTAGATAAAAAAGACCTGGGAGAAGGTAACATTGGTTTTTGCTCTCTCTCACTGGCAATTTTATTTATCCTGTTGCTATGCTATTCTTCCTCAACATTAGAACCTACTTCTTTGAGCTTCCAATATATATTGAAGATCAGCAACTATTCAGGAATCCTCCAGGCCTTCCATGTCAAATTAGGACAACTGTGACACCTAACTTCAAGGACTGAGCCACTAACAGAATAATTGGACTCCATCATGGACTCACTCTCTGGAAGAGTAAACCAAAATAAACTCTCCCATAAGCTACTTTGGTCATGATATTTCATCACATCAACAGAAAGTAACTTAAACAGAAGTTGGCAACAGAAAGTGGTTTAACTGCTGTGAAGAACATGATCATGTTTTTTATAACAGTCTTTTTCTTTTGGGCCACCAACTGGCTCCCAAATCAAGACACAGAGACTTGTTGATGATTTCTTTTTTCCCATTGTACAAATTTGGCTTCTTTGTCAAGTATCAGGTGTTCTATGGTGTGTGCATTAATATCAGCATCTTCAATTCAATTCCATTAATCCACGTATCTGTTTTTATGCCAATACCAAGCTGTTTTTATTACTGTAGCTCTATAGTAGAACTTGAAGTCAATGATGGTGATACCTCCAGAAGTCCCTTTATTATACAGGATTGTTTTGGTTATCCTGAGTTTTTTGCTTTTCCATATGAACTTGACTATTTTTCTTTCAAGGTCTGTGAAGAGTTGTGCTAGGATTTTAATAGAGATTGCATTGAATCTGTAGATTGCTTTTTTTAAGACTACCATTTTTACTATGTTTATGATACCTATCCAAGAGCATGGGAGATCTTTCCATTTTGTGATATCTTCAGTTTTTTTTCTTCAAAGACAAAGTCATACAGGTCTTTCACTTGTTCGGTTAGAATGAGTGAGATGTTTCTCTGATTTCTTTCTCATCCTGTTTATCATTTGTATATAGGGGGACTACTGATTTTCTTTTCTTAGTTAATCATGTATCCTACCACATTACTGAAGGTGTTTATCAGCTGTAGGAGTTCCCTGGTAGAATTTTTGGGGTCACTTATGTGTACTATCATATCATCTGCAAATAGTAAAAGTTTGACTTCTTCTTTTCCAACTTGTATCCATCACTTTGATCTCCTTTTGTTGTCTTATTGCTCTAGCTAGAACTTTGAATATTATATTATAGATATGGAGAGAATGAACAACCTTGTCTTGTTCTAATTTTAGTGGAATTGCTTTGAGTTTCTCTTCATTTAAGTTGATGTTGTCAGCCTACTTTCTTTCAGAACCCAGGACACCACCCACAATGGTCTAGGTCACACCCCATCAATCACTAATTAAGAAAATGCCCTGCATATTTGCCTACAGCTGGATCTTATGGAGGCCTGTAGCATGAATAATAAAAATCCAGAGACAGATATTGGAGTTCAAGATGAAGATGAAAAAAGCAAAGCAACCAAACCAGCAGAAAGATCTTACCTCTACCAAGGCTGGGGCAATCCTGACCTCAAAGCAGCTGGAGACTAATTGCCTGAATACTGACTGAATACTGAATGCCCTGCTCCTATTTTAACATACCTCTCTAGTACTGGGATTAAAGGCATGAACTCTGTTTCTCTTTTAGACTAATTCACTCTCATGTAGCCCCAGGTGGCCTTGAACTCATGGAGATCAATCTGCCTCTGTCTCCCAAGTCATGAGACTAAAGGTATGTGCCATCACTGCCCAGCTTCTATGGCTGTGGCTAGCTTTGCATTCTGATCTTCAGTGGCTTTAACAGATCATAAACAATCTATCACCAAGGGGCCTTTTCTTAATTGAGGACCCTTCCTCTCAAATAAGTAGCTTGCAACAAAATAACATAAAACTATTCAGCACAATTACCAAGTAGGAGGTAACAAGATGGCTCAAAAAACAAGCTTGTCACCAAGCTTGACAAACTGAGTTCTGTATGACCCACACTGTGGAAGAAAACCAAGAAAACCAGCTCCTGCAAGCTGTTCTCTGACCTCTCTCTCTCTCTCTCTCTCTCTCTCTCTCTCTCTCTCTCTCTCTCTCTCTCTCTCTCTCTACTTATGGATCTGAAGGTAGTTCTCAACTACCACTTCAGCATCTGCCTGCATACTGTCATACTCCCTGCCACGATAATGGACTAATTGTGAAACTATAAACCTCTGATTAAATGCTTTCTCTTATTAGCTGCCTTGTTTATACTGCTCTTGCAGAGAACCTAAGTTCCAAGTACCTACAGCAGGCAGCTCACAACCACCTGTAACTTCATTTTGGGATCCAACACTCTTCCAACTCCACAGGAATCTGTTCACATGGCAAACACAGACACACACGCACACAGAAATAAAAATAAATCTTTTTTAAAAAATGTTAAGCAACAGGTAGCAATGGTATATACTAAATGAATTGTAACTATGAAATGAAATACAAAAGGAAAAATTTCCTTAGATTTCAACATACGTAAAGCCAAAGGCTTAAGTAAAAAAAATGAGTAAGAGAGCAAATCTTCCAAACAACTATTCACTGATGCCTGAAATTGAGCTGTGATAGAAAAATGCATTCCACTTACACAGTAGTAAATTCCCCAAGGGCAGAGAATCATCTTAATTGCAGGGCCTAAAAGAAAAGAATGCCATCATCTCCACACTTAGGCAATCTTAGAGTTTTAAATAATGGATGAAACACAATTGTGAGATACTAACTAGTCAGAAACAAAGCAACCTACGTAAAAGCTGTTTGCTCAGCTGGAGATATCACTAGGTCATTTTTGAGTTATTCAGACTTGTCTGAGAAGAATCATTTAAAGGTTCACATTTGTGCTATAAATTTTGGGTGAAGACTTCTGTTGTTGTTTCCTTCCTTATAAAACTGTACCCTTTACCTTTTTTGGCACAAAAGATACAAAGTCTGTTCGGTAGCTGGGGTAGCTGGAGCAAGTATGATGGAAGGTAGAGACGGCTGTTCCGGCACCACATGTGACCAAGAGAAGACACCACTTCTGATCTGTCATCCCTTGTAGAATATGATTGCTGTAAAACAATCCTTTTCTACTCTATGAATATGTATTATGAATATGGTTAATAAAAAGCAGAAAGCCGGTAGCTGGGCAGGCAGTTAGGCAGGAAAGCCAAATTGAGAATGCTGGGAAGGAGAAGGGTGGAGTCAGGAATCACCAGTCAGACACAGAGGGAGCAGGAGATGAACTCATCATGCTAAATAAGGTACCACCATGTGGCAGAGCATAAATAAAGAATATGGGTTAATTTAAAATGGAAGAGCTAGTAAGTAATAAACCTGAGCTATCAGCCAAGTATTTAGAAGAAAATTATGTCTCTGAGTCAGTTATTTAGAAAGCAGCTGCCAGGTATTTAGGAACAGGCAGTCCAAGAGAAATGTTTGATTACATATGATTTTCATCTGGGCCTTCTTGTCATTTTCCTCCTGGTAACTTTTGTAATACTTGGATAATTTACTTTTAAAGAATTGGAAAACGATCCATAATAGATGTTCTTTTCAGGATAAGATGAACACTAAAGAGGCTGGAGAGATGGCTCAGTGGTTAAGAGCACTGACTTCTTCCAGAGGACCTAGGTTCAATTCCCAGCATTTACATGGCAACTAACAACTGTCTGTAATACCAAGATCTGACACCCTCACACAGACATACATGCAGGCAAAACACCAATGCACATAAAAAGTAAATAAATAATTAAAAGTTGGACTCTGAAAATAGAGCCAACTGTCCAAGACTGAACCACACTGAAGAAGGCCCCCATGGGCTGTCATGCTAGTCAGTAGGGTATCTGAAGCAGATCACAGCCAGACACAATTAACAGTTCAGCATGCCTAAATACACAGTCTGTTTCAGAAGCAAATATTTCAAGAACTATTTCCATTTGCTAAGAGCTTATAGTGGACCAGTGGATATAGCTCAGTTGGTGAGGAGTACTTGCTCAGCATACATGAAGCTCTAAATTTGATCCCCAGACATGCATACCTAGTATGGTAGTATATTCCTTTAATTCTAGCATTGGGGGGGGGGAGCAAATTCAAGGACAGCCTCAATTATTAAAGAACCTACCTCAGGGAAAATGATGAGTAGGAGCACTATAAGCATTATTCTGCTTTTTCCCCCTGTGGTGCTGGGGATCTAACCTAGGGCCTTGCTTACTATGACAAGCATTATACCACTGAGTTACACCCACAGTCCTCACATAATGCTAAAGGAGTAAAGATTTGAATTGAAATCTAGTTCTAATTATTCCATGCCACCATCTTGGATTTTGATTTTCATGCTTATTTTACTTCATGAATAAGTACAATGGGAAATAAGCCAAGAACAATTGCTCAGAGCCTGTTAATAGGTAATAACATTTTCAAAAATTCTAAGTGCTCTTACAGCTAAAGGGAAAGGCTGAAAAAAAAGGTGGCCATGATGAAAATCCTCAGTCCAAATAAGTAAATGAACAAGTAGAGGTGGTTAGCAGCTGAGTCAATAGCATCAAATAACAAATATTGTGCTGAGAAGCACTCAACATAGAGATAGAAAAGAACCCCATAAATAAGCCAAGAAGAAAAAGAAAAATACAGACAAATGAGCCATTAACTTATGAAATTTATTGTAAAAGCTGTTCAAGTGACAACAAAGAAATGTACTCTTCCATTTGGTACCAAGGCGCTTCATGACTATTGCCTTGTCTCCAAAGCATGAGGAAAAACTGGCCAAGTCCACTATTAAGCCATCCACTCAGGTCAAGCAATATGTAGATGAGTCTTTCATAGTGGTCCTGCAGAGAATGTGTCCTTTGAGAGTTTGAGAACTGGCAGAGGTGATCTGAAAGACAACCCATCAAAAGACAATGTAACCTGACAGCACCATGGACACAGGACATGGATAGAGATGACAGGAAGTTCATGGTACTTGTGGTATCTCAAATCTGAAAGGAAGACACATCAGACAGAATGGCAATGCATATGAGGTAAGAAGCCACACGCTCCATCAGGTGTGTAAGGCCCATAAGGGACCGTGAACATCCCAACCACAGTAGTCAGTATTCTAATGGGGCACACAGTTGCACACTTGATTGGCTAGAGCCATCAGTTCAGCCTGAGCTGATCTCCAGCCTGCCCAGCATGGAAGAGAGAGAACCAGCCTTCCACAGGAAGGGAGAACAGAACTGCAGGCTGGGCACAGCAGGACACACCTGGGCTGCTGCTGGGAGTGGAGCCTTCTTCCCTCTGTAGTTTCCTTCAGTCTGTTACTAGGCAGACAGTCTCCCTGACCACTGGCATGCTTTCCACACTCTGTGAACACTTCCTTTTTCAACAGAGAAAAGGCCCCCAGAGCCTTGTGCAGGACACCAGATCCGGTTGGAGTTTAACGACATTGTTTTGTTTTCATTGTGCTTATTTTTAAGGATACTTTCTACCTATGGCACAAGATACTGGCTTTCCATTTATGGAGGGATCTAAAGTGTCTTTTGAAATCATATTTACTTTTATTTTTTCCTCTTTATTGAAAATAGATTTTTTTCCTCATATAATACATCCTGATTACAGTTTCTCCTCCTTCCAGTTCCTTCTCATCTCCCCTCCTAACTGGATCCACTCCCTTTGTATCTCTCAATTAGTAAACAAACAGGTAGCCTGCAGTGGTTGGCGCATGCCTTTATCCCAACCCTAGGGAGGCAGAGGCAGGCAGATCTCTGTGAGTTCGAGGCCAGCCCAGTCTACAGAGCTAGTTCCAGGACAGGCTCCAAAGCAATACAGAGAAACCCTGACACGACGAGAAAAATAATAATAATAATAATAAACAGCTTGGTCTACAGAGTGTGTTCCAGGCTAGCCAGGGCTATGTAACAGAATCCTATCTAAAAATAAATAAAAAATAAAAGCTGCACAACATAAATACCACCCTCCAGTCTCCAGAATGAGTTGGGATAGATGCAAGCTGGGCTAGTAAAAGCCATCCTTATGATTTTTTGTTTGTTTTATTTTTCAAGACAGGGTTTCTCTGTGTAGCTCTGGCTGTACTAGATAGAAGTCTCTCTATATACCAAGTTGGCCTCAAACTCAGAGATCACCTGCCTCTGTCTCCCAAGTGCTGGAATCAAAGGTATGTGCCACTGCTGATTGGTTAATCCTTATGATATTTTTGATCAAGACCTAATGAGAAAGATTTTCATCTCTGATTAAGGAATGAATGGCTAGGACCCCAAAGTAGCCATTAATCACATTTCTCATCGCATTTCTGGGTTCCACAAAAACATTCTTTTTGATCTCAGAAACAGCTACCTGAGTGAGGTCACTATAAGAATTCACTGGGCAGGGCAGTGGTGGTGCACACCTTTAATCCTAGCACTTAGGAAACAGAGGCAGATCTCTGTGAATTTGAGGCCAGCCTGGTATACACAGAGAGTTTCACTGCAGCCAGGGTTACATAGAGAAACCTTGTCTCCAAAAAAAAAATAAAAGAGAGAGAGTGAGAGAGTATTTCACTCTCTGAAATAGCCTTGGCTGGCTTGGAACTCACTATGTCTAGGCTAGCCTTGAATTTTTGGCTATTTGTAGTGGGCTTTCTTGAACCACCATTTCTTTTCAACTATGTGCTGCCCCCAGGCTGATCTAAATACTCTCCATCCTGCTTCCCTGCTTCCTCTGTGCCTGCATGGCCGACCCCCTGCTGGCTGGCTGGCTGGCTCCCCTTTTCTCTCTGCCCAGCAGCCCCAGCTATTCCTCCTTTGCCTAACTATTGGCCGTTCAGATTTTTACCAGAGCAATCAGGTGCTTTAGGCAGGCAAGGTTAAATCGCAATACATCTTTATATAACTAAACAAATGCAGCATAAACAGATTAACATATCTTTTTTGTTTGTTTCTTTGTTTTGTTGGGGTTTTGTTTCTATATTGTTTTATTTTTTAATTTATTATTTACATTCCAATCCCACTTTCTCCTCCCATCTGCTCCTCGGAGAGGGTAAGGCCTCCCCTAGGAAGTCTACTAAGTCTGTCCTATTATCTCCTTGAGGCAGGACCAAGGCCCTCCTCCCCTCCCCCCCCAGGTCCCTACGCCACCCCCTGTGCCTAAGCTGAGCAAGGTATCTCTCCATATGGAAGTGCTCCCTCCTCTTGATTGTACTCCAGGAGCTTAGCCCCAACAGTTGTGGATTTCTGCATCTGTTTCCATCTGTTTCTAGAAGAGAGTTCTAGCTTCTCTGGGGTTGTAGATTGTAGGCTGGGTATCTTTTGCTTTAAGTATGGCATCAATTTATGAGTGAGTACATACTATATGTGTCATTCTGGGTCTGGGTTACCTTACTCAGGTTGTTTTTTTCTAGTTTCATCCATTTGCCTGCAAATATTAGGATGTCATTGTTTCTTACCACTGAATAGTACTTCATTGTGTAAATGTACCACATTTTCTTTTATCCATTCTTTTGTTGAGGGGCATCTAGGTTGTTCCCAAGTTCTAGCTATTATTAATAATGTTGCTATGAACATAGCTGAGCAAATGTCCTTATGGTATGTGTCTCCTTTGGGCACATGCTAAAAAGTAGTATTGCAGGGTCTTGAGGTAGGTCAATTCCTAATTTTCTGAGAAATCATCATACTGATTTCCACAGAGGCTGTACAAGTTTGCACTCCTACCAGCAGTGGAGTATTTCCCTTACTCCACATCCTCTCCAGCTATCAGTGTTTTTTATCTTAACCATTATGATCAGTATAAGATGGTATCTTAGAGTGTTTTGATTTGCATTTTCCTAATAACTAAGGACGTTGAGCATTTCCTTAAGTGTCTTTCTACCATTTGAGATTGTTCTCTTAAGAATTCTCTGTTTAGATTTATACCCCATTTTTAAAATTGGATTACATGGTAATTTGATGTTTAGTTTCTTGAATTCCTTGTATATTTTGGAGATCAACCCTCTGTCAGATGTGAAGTTGGTGAAAACCTTTTCCTATTCTGTAGGGAGCCATTCTGTCTTGTTGACCATGTCCTTTGCTTTAGAGAAGCTTCTCAGTTTCAGGTCTCATTTATTAATTGCTGATCTCACTCTCTGAGCTACTGGTGTTATACTTAGGAAGAGGTCTCCTGTGTCTATGCGTTCAAGGGTATTTCACACTTTATCTTCTATGAGGTTCAGTGTAGATGGATTTATATTGAGGTCTTTGATCCATTTGGACTTGTTTTGTGCATGGCAATAGTGATGGGTCTATTTTCAGTCTTCTACATGTCAACTTCCAGTTATACCACAACCATCTATTGAAAATGCTTTCTTCTTTTTTCCATTTTATATTTTTAGCTTCTTTGTCAAAAACAGGGAGTTCATAGGTGTGTGTGTATGTGTGTGTGTGGACACCACGGTATTCCATTCCATTGGTCCACCTGTCTATTTTTGTGCCAATACCAAGCTGTTTTCATTACTATAGCTCTATAATAGAGCTTGAAGTCAGGGACGGTGATGACCCCAGGTGATCCTTTATTGTACAGGGTTGTTTTGACTATCCTGTGTTTTTTTGGTTTTCCATATCAAATTGAGCATTGTTCTTTCCAGGTCTGCAAAGAATTGTTCTGGGATTTTGATAGGATTGCATTGAATCTGTAGATTACTTTTGGTAGGATTGCCATTTTTACTATGTTGATCCTACCTACCCATGAGCATGGGAGATCTTTCCATTTTTTGATATCTTCTTTAAAGACTTAAAGTTCTTCTCATACAGGTCTCTCACTTGTTTGGTTAGAGTTACCCCAAGATATGTTATGCTATTTGTGGCTATTATAAAGGTGGATATTTCTCTGATTTCTTTCATAGACTGTTTATATTTATATATAGGAGGGCTACTGATTTTTTTTAATCAATCTTGTATCCTGCTACATTACTGGAGGTGTTTATCAGTTGTAGGAGTTCCCTGGTAGAATTTTGGGGGTCACTTATGTAAACTATAATATCAGCAAATACTGAGAGTTTGACGACTTCTTTTCCAATTTGTATTCCCTTGATCTCCTTTTGTGGTATTATTGCTGTGGCTAGAACTTCTAGTACCATATTGAATACATATGAAGAGAGTGGACAGCCTTATCTTGTTCCTGATTTCAGTGGGATCACATTGAGTTTCTCTCCATTTAGTCTGATGTTGGCTATTGGGTTACTGTATATTGCCTTTATCATGAAGGGGTGTTGAATTCTGTCAAAGGCTTTTTCAGCATCTAATGAGATGATCATGTGGTTTTTTTTTTTCTTTCAGTTTGTTTATATGGTAGATTACATTGACAGATTTTCATATGTTGAATCACTGGGATAAATCCTACTTGGTAATAGTGGATGATTTTTATGATGTGTTCTTGGATTCGGTTTGCAAGTATTTTATTGAATATTTTTGCATCAATGTTCATAAGGGTATTTGGTCTGTAATTCCCTGTCTTAGTTGTGTGTTTGTGTGATTTAGGTAACAGGAAAACTGTAGCCTCGTAAAAAGTTTGGCAGCCAGGCATTGGTGGTGAACACCTTTAGTCCCAACACTCAGCAGGCAGAGGCAGGTGGATCTCTGTGAGTCTGAGGCCAGCCTGGTCTACAGAGTGAGTTCCAGGACAGGCTCCAAAGCAATACAGAGAAACTCTGTCTCAAAACACCAAAAGAAAGAGAGAGAAAGAGAGAATTTGGCAATGTTCCTTCCATTTCTATTGTGTGTAATAATATCAGAGTATTGGTATTAGCTCTTCTTTGACCATCTGGTAGAATTCTGCACTGAAACCATCTGGCCCTGGGCTTTTTTTTTTTGGTTGGGAGACTATTGATAACTGCTTCTACTTCCATAAGCATTATAGTTGTAGTTA